TTTGAATAATTTTACGTTAAGAAAAAATTTAAATTCAAATTTAAATTAATGCCTTTTTTCTTAACTAATTTATTTGTAATAATAATTTTTAATTCAATAAATCTTTCTTATTCTTCAACTATTTAATAGAATACCAAATCGATTTATATCTAATAATCTCTATAATAATCATTAATGTTTTAAATTTATGTTTTTAAAAATATCATCATAATAGTAATTAAAGATATTCATATCATAATTTTAAGCTCTCTATCATATCATTATAATAGTAAGTAATTAAAGATATTCATATCATAATTCAATATTCCCTATCATATCATTATAATAGTAAGTAATTAGCGATAGGATAAGATATATTCATATCATAATAGTAATTAATGATAAGATATGGAAAAGAAAAAATATAAAATTATATTGTTTAAATGATGCAATCATTGAAATGATATTTAGCTTTAATGAAAGCCATTGAATTTTGTTAATTTATTTCAATTTTGAAATTCAAAAATATTTCTTGCTTTATTGGAGTGAAATGCAAGAAAAGAAAAAGAATGAAAAATAGGGAAATTTAATAGTTTGACAAAAAATTATTGGAAGAAATGATCGAATCAATCAACCAATCGATCGATCAATCGATCGATTGGTTGATTGATTGATTGATTGAATTTTAAACGTTTAAACAATCGAATAAAATGAAAATATAAAAATAAATTTATTTCTGTTTTAATCTTTCTTATAAGAAAAGCTTTAAAAGTTAAATTTTGATATGTAAAAATAAATAAAAGAAAAACAAATAAAATTTGAAAGAATTATATTCAAAATATTATAGATTGAAAATTGGAAGAGATTAAATTGGATAATTTCAATATTTCATTAAAGTTTAACTGTCAACAAATAATTAAAAGACAAAATTTAAATTTTAAATTTTAAGGAGAATGGAAATTACAAAAGTTATTTACCTTTGCTCTTTTTCTTTTCAGCTATTTAAAAGAGTATTATGTTTGTAGAGATAGAAATTCCTTTTACGATATATTGTTAGAGATTGAAAAGAAAATGAAAAAATTGAATTGCTAAGAAAAGAGAAGCGAAACTGTCATCAATTTTCTATATAATAACAATCAATTTTATTTATATTTACATTTAACTGGTAATAACTGGCAAAAGAATAAAACAAAATCGATTTCATATCAATCTGTCCGATAAATAAAATAGAAAATAGAAATTGAAAAAGAGCGATATTAATGAGTTGTGGTAAGTGAATTTGAATTTGATGAATTACTGCACTTCCACTTCCACTCTTAACTATTCCATAACAGAAGGGCAAATTTTAAAAAAGAAAGAAAGAGAGAGAGAGAGAGAAACAATAACTTTGTTCGTTTTTCTTTGAGAGAAATAAGAAAAGAATTTGATGATTGGAAAAAAAATTGAACTTTGTTGAAAATTTTTTAAAAGTAAAATTTTTCTGAATCAATTATAAGGGATAAATTAATAGCATGAAAAAGAGAAATTTTTATAATTGAAAGATAAGAAATAAACCAAAGAAAGATTGATTAAATTAATTAATTATCATTTTATATAAGAAATAAATGATAATATGGTGATAAAGAGAGAGAGAGAGAGAGATAAAGGGAGAAAGAAAAACAGAGAGAGAAAAAAATTCATTTTTGAGATTAATTTACCTACAAAATAAGAATAGGTATGTTATTTACATATGTATATCTGTGTATGTGTGTGTATATTATGAAAGGAAGAGATTTAGGTAAGTGGTTTTTTAGCTTTACTTTCATTAACGGTGCAACTGTGCAAGGATAGCGTAATATTATGAGGGAACGCTGTATATCATCATAGTTTGTAAGGAGGAAGGAATATAATAAACCTTAGAGCATTGGATGTAATAAGCTTTTCAAAGAGAAAGAGAGAAAGAGTTGAAGGAATTATTGAATGAATGTTGAAAAAGAGGTGAGCGGAAACTCTTTGAGAGTGAAAATAAGAGGGACTCAAAAGTTTCTTCCTTTCTTAGATACAGCTCTGCACCTAATATTTATAGGCTTAAGTAAAAAGTACTTGAAGAAGTAAGGCCTTTTAAATGAGTGATGCGATAGCATTTCTCAAACTTTCTTCTCTCTATCATAGCATTTCCATTGATACATATTTTTATGCATTTACATTTTAATCAACCACACATATCAGCATCATATTGACAGATGTCAAGTATAGAGAGAGAGAGAGAGAGAGAGGGAAAGGAAGAGAAAGAAAGAGGAAGAGAGAAGAGATAAATGAAGACAGCAAAAATTTCTGAAAAGTTTAATTCAATAGTTCACTTATTAATTTTTCAAAAAAACTTCTCAAAATTTTTACAATTTCTCTCTCTCTCCCTCTCTCTCTTTTCCTCCCTTTCTTTCTTTCTCATTTTTAATGAATCGATTAATAAACCTTTCAATAAAGGATTGACAAACTGTCAATAACCTATTGGATGATACATTTGTGACAAACAAATATTTCTTCAATTTTATTCCAAAATATTTTAATTAAAACAAAATGATTGGATGATTTAAGTGAGATAAAGATTTAATACAGAAATTGTCAACATGTATTTTTCTTCTTTTATTTTCCCTCAAATAAAATTAAAAGCAACGATTTAAAAACAGAATAGAATTGACGCAATCGATATTAAATGATTATTTTGGTTGATGTCAATTTGCGCCTCAATTTTCATAACACTTCATCCATCATCATCCAATGCTGTTTACAATTTACCGCTTGAGAATGTCTCTGTTGAAGTGATCATCAATAGTACAATCATAATCTTTCGAAGAAGTTGTGGAAAAATAAAACATTCATTGGAAATAATAAAATTAAATGCAATGCGATTTCATTTCAGTGTAATATAAAAATTGAGAAATATTTAGAAGAAATCTCAGGAAAATCCGAGAAATAATAGAATTTCGAGAGAGATTAATAATTTAGAAGAAATTAAAGAAAAAAAGTCAGAATACATAGGTGTAATTTTAATTAATTAGGAAATAATTAGCAATATTTTTAAGATTTCAACATTTTGGAATGTCTGCCTTTTTCATAAATGCTAATTTTCATTTAAAAGAAAAAGAAAAGATTCTGAAATAATGAAGAAGAAAAAGTAAGAATAGAAATTTTAGACGAAAAGATGGAAGGAAGGAAGAAGCAGAAGCTGCTATTTGGAATGAAAAGGAACCTATCTGATAAGCTGGTAGTGCTAATGCTTGCTTTCTTACTAAACGATTAAGTAAACGGAGAGGGAGAAGTTTGTATTGTTCCTTCTCTAACTCTTCATTAAGCAAGCAGCTTATTGCGCTTCGATCGAACGCTCTCATAGGCATTCTCCCAAAGAGTTCAATTTTAAAATATCATATTTTTTAAAGTATTTAAATTAATGCAAAAAAATTTTTGAAAAAAAAATCTTTGATGAAAAGTGGCACTTAATTAATTATATAAATAACTAAATTCAGAAATACAAAGCTTAAAATAAATTTGAAAATTTTTAGATTGAAAAATTTTACTTTAATAGATAATATATTGGTTCTATTAAGTGATTAGTAAAATTTAATCAATTTGAAATTCTTTCAATATAATAAGCATAGTATAAATTTGAATAGTAATACACTGGAAGTTATGATAAATCAATTCTTTAGTATTTTCCTATACGTTAGCATGCATGCAACAAATGCAAATATATTGAAAATTGAAGATTTAGCACAAATGATCCGCAAAAAAATTGAAATATTTATTATTCGATTATATTTGAAAATAACTTATACTATTATCTTTGGGAGAGAAATTTCATTTTTCTTTTCAGTAATCAACTAATTAAGCAAATTAGTGTCAGTTAAATGAGCAAAAAATATTTTCGATTCAAAAGTAACTGGCATTTAACCATATATGTATATCCATATTTAAATTCAGGAATTAAGATTATAAAACTTAAAGTAAATTTATGAATTTAAGGATTAAATAGTTTAATTTTATTTTGGGAGAGGAGAAGAAGAAGAATGAAATTTTCAGTGATGAATAAATCTTCGTGTGCATCTTTTATGCAACATATTTGATCAATTATTATTCAGAAATATCGCAGAAAGATCGCAGAAAAAAAACTGACAAATTTATAGTTTACTAATATTTCGCTTTTTGTGCTTTATCGATTGGCTTTCTGAACGATCAAAGAATCCCTTCGTGTTTTGATATGCGATCATTACTTCACATAAAGCTCTATTTTAGAAAATTCAATACTTAGAAAAAAAATGACTCACTTTAAAGATTTCCAAAATCCCGAAGAAGATCGAATTTGATTTTCAAAATCGTGAAAATCGTAGAATCGGAGATTGTATTCGCTTTCTTGGACTTTTCCCCATATTTATTGAACATTGAATAAAGTAGAAATAAGGTAAATCTGTTAAAAATAGCTCATTTTTGTGGTCAAAACGGATTCAGTAAAATTTGGATGAATGTAATTTTGTCAGTCATTCGATTTCAAAAAATTTGCTTTCGTCCTCAGAGTATTTTATTATATTATATCGGCTTAGTCCCGAGTGGTTAGCATCTCGCATTCTCAATTTTTTATGTCATTTTTTTCATAAAAAAATAGCTGCCCACTTGTAGCTGTCGTTATTTGAAGCCAAACTCTTAGCAAAATTTTAAATTTCGTAAGATTCAAATTCTCATAAATAATATGTTCTTCAAATCTAAATATGAAATTTTCACAATTTGAATATTTCATATTCGATAGAATTCTTACAAAACTATGCGATCGGTTTCTAAATTGTCATTTCATCATTTTGTTTATTCCTCGACTGGACAATACCACATTTTACAGTTCATGCACATTTAAAAGGATTATTCAGCACTTATCAGCATTTATTTAAATTGTTGACAAAAATTGGTAATTGCAAAAACTCATTAATTGTTTTTTTTATGTTTCTAGAAGTTCAATTAGTAAGTATGTATAAATTATAAATGTATAGGGTGAAAAAATGAAGAAAAATGAAGAAGGAATTGTACCCGGTGGTTCCACAAAACTGTTATTTTCATCCGCCTTCCAAATCAATAAACGTTTTAATCTGGACCAACTAATAAGCGCTGGCGGCTTCGGACAGGTTCAGAATCTTTCAGTAATTTTCTGTAGTGAATAAGATTGATCAATTCTTTTTTTCAATTTCAAATTCATTAAAAATATTTACTCTTAAGTGTAAGCAGGAAATTTTTAAAAGTTTTCTCGATAATTCGATTTGAGAAAAAATGTTTAAGAATAAATTTGAGAAATAAGAAGTGAATTACAAAGAATTAGGCTTCAAGTTAGCCCCTTTCGTTTATTTGATAGCGCCAAATATCAAAATCATTCTGTTCCCGGTTATACTTGGTACAGTATGCAGCTGTTGGAAAATATATCTCGTGATGCATTGGCATTCTTTTGTCATTAGCAGTTAAACGTCGGACAGCAGACTGGATTTTAACCTTAAGTGCTATGAGATCAGATTAGGGAGCAGGCCATGTTGAGGTATACCGTAGCGAATAGCCGATGTTCAGGTATACTCTGGTACAAATATTAATACCGGTGAATTGGTCGCCATAAAAGCTGAATCGATTGATGCTAAGGTACACAAAAAAATTAAATTTTTTTAATTTAACAATATCTAGAATGATAGCTAAAATGAGGAACACAATGATGATTGATGGCTGAATTTAGCTATTTAAACATTAATTTAAAAAATTTGATTCAGAACTATAGTACTGCTAGGTATAGCTTTTTAAAAACTTATATAAAGGCAAATCTTCAAAAAAACATTGTCGTCCTTTTCGATGCAAATTATTTGCATAATTAATGGCAGTTACAGATTCCATTGTTGCGGATAGAAGCAGCCTGTCTAGAAGCACTCAATCATACTATCAGACAAAATTTCCAGAAACCTCCTAAAGAACCAATACCAAATTATTATGGTTACGGTGAAACACAAAACGTCCGATATATGGTTCGTCAATAAAAACATTCTTTAGAATCCTTTGAATTTCAATTTTATTTTTCTATCTGTCGAAAAAGTTTCAATATGTTATTTCCCAAATTTTATGACAGATTCAAATTCGAATAATGCTTGTACAAACATTTTAAACTTAAATTATACTTCACTAAAAGCTAAAACGATTGAATATCAATAAGCGATCATGACGTTATCGTCACTTTTAAATGATACATTCTGAAGTTATAAACATACACATAATGATAATGATAATGGATTTATGTAGGATTTAGGTAATGGATTTATGTGGAAAAAATGTTCGAGAATTAAAGAAAAGCACAAAAGAAGATTGCTTCACAATAGTTACATCGCTTTGGCTTATGAAGAAAATGATTCTGGCACTCAAATTTTTGCATCGTTTAGGATGGATTCATCGGTAATGACAGCTTAACAACAGATGAAAACATAGGCGTAAATTTTAATCATTCCGTGAATGAAAGTCGATAAGAATGAATTCCAAATTTATACTAAAGAATGAATCTTTCGTTCTTTTTTTGAAGAGATGTAAAACCTGCAAATTTCTGTATTGGATTACAATTGCAAGGAAGGCAAGAGTTATACCTTGTTGATTTTGGTATGGCACGTCGTATTATTGCGCGCAATGGTATCATTAAACCAAGGCGAGAATCAAGTGCATTCCATGGTACTGTCCGTTATGCATCTCTTACAACACATCGACATCAGGTAAACAACTCTTTAAAATTTTCCAATCTTTTATTATAGCTCAAATTTTGCACTATTATGAGATTTCTAGTAAAACTATCAAAGATTGAAGCATATAAGTTACATATACTGAAAGTGCTCCCATCAATTATTCATCAACTTAAATTTAAGGATAATATCATGCAAATTAGTATTGATTGATAATCAATAGAAGAGGAGCTCTTTAAGGCAGAAGCACTAAATTTAGTTATTTTTGTCAGGATATGTCACGTTATGATGATCTTTGGTCTGTTTATTACATCAGTGTGGAAAATATGATTGGACAGTTACCGTGGCGTTATGTAAACGAAAAGACGGAAGTTGAAAAAATGAAGGAAAACATAGATTTATTAAGAGAAAAGTATGGAACGGAAGCAAATCCGCCAGCATCACTATTGGTGCTTCATCGTCACCTCTGTCATGCCAGTTTCTACCATGAACCAGAATATCATCGGATTGTCAACGAAATCGTAAGCTGTATTTTTCAGTTTTAATTTACATTAATATCATTATATTCTCGAAAAAAAAAAAGCATTGTATTTCAACTTTCGATCACTACAACATTTAGGATCTTGATTTAATTCACCGAAATTTCAATGCAGACAGTCGTTTGGATTGGCAACCAGTTGAGGTTACAACATTTTTTAACGTGTCAATATATGTCTAAATTCGCTTTTTGTAATTATTCAGTATCATAATATTTTGCGACAGAATAATCAACAGCAACGCTAATATCAAAAAGTACATCTGTTCTACTCCTTTGAGCTCATTTGAAAAACCTCCAAAAAGTCTGAAATTCGTTAATAAATAAATATATCATTTTAGCCCTGTCAAAGCCTTCCTTTCAACGATTTCAAAGCGAAAAATCGTCGTGAGCTACATGATCGCAATACTGCCAATCATAATCATGACCGTTCTAACTTAAACCATAATAATGATCGGCTGACAGAAAATGATGACCGCTCTTACTATTTTATGCAGTCAGGCGATAATTTCTGATAGCAGTGTACAAACTGTGAATAATAAATGAGAAAAAAATCATCTATATTCGTATTTCATCCTCCCTGATATATTCCTAATATATCTTCGATCATTTGCTAATTAATTATAATTCTGTGAACACGCAAGATTTAAAGCATTGACTTATCGTATCTAAATACAAATTTGATTTCTGCAAGTACTCTAACAATTCTTGAATGCAAAAATTTCATACGTCATAGCCATAAAGTTCTCAGTGTTACGATACTACACTCAAATTTCTTAAACTGACAGTATGACAGAAAATGTGGACAGCGACGGCTGCAAGAGCGTTGATACGGTACGTACTGCTTGTTCCGTTGCAGGACGTTCGATGATACTCGTAAAATGATCCTAAACAAATAAATTGGCATAATTTTCAGTTTAACGGATTTTATACAATTCAACTAAACGACCGTTCCTTCTTAAATTATAAATTCCACTATTCATCATTTGGTTTTTCATGTTTATGCAAGGCATTCTCACTTTGTTATGATGCGACCATAGAATTCGATCTCTTAAATCAGCAGCTTTGATAAACGTAATCCCATCAATATCGATTATTCGATCGCCGACAGTGAAATATCTTCCAGATAAAGGACCGTGGTCGTAAACGTAAATACTGGAATTACTTTGTTTGAATGCCAGATGAAGATGTTGTTGTGCTATTCCTCGATCACTCTTCTTCCAGTCCACAATCACGAACTAAGAACAAATTAATAGTCGGGGTACAATCACTTTTTTAGAAAAACTACCAAATCTTAGAATTTTAATAGATTTCTGAATTTCTATGATTGAAAAAGCTCTATGAATTCGCTAAATTTTCACATTTCTTTTCCAACAGAAATCGCAGCAAATATGATAATCACATTTAAAACGAACAAAATAATTGAAACCATCTTTCCTCTCGAATGCATTGGCACGTTCCTCTTCAACACGAACAGGTAGGCTATAATCATCTAATGGTGCACAGCTCTAAATGGAATCAGAAATCATATTACTTGTATAAACGTAAAAAACTCTTCGGACGCAGGGATACATAATCCTCAGAATGGAGTTTGAAAATCAATGTACGATAGCACGAAGATGACAAGGTCCTTTATTTAAATTTTACCTTAAGTTGCTTTTCTAATTTCTCGATTATTTCCTGTTGTTCGATAATTGTTTCTTCCAATGTCTCATTACGATGTTCATTTTCCTCAAAAATTTCCTGAAATTTGTATGACAGCGATAGAATTGTATAGTGGACAATATCAACCGATTTTGAGAGCTCATCGGTGGTAGTATCTCAACTGCCTATTTGATCGGAGAGACTTAAATTGTTTCTCTGCATATACCTGTAGTCCAAATTGTCTAACATCGACCGGCCAACACACAGAAAATTTTCTGCAGCTTGTTTCAAACTTTTTGAGTGCATTTTGTGGTACTTAAATATAAAAACTACTGTAGGAATTATTAGAACCTTTAGATCCTTAAGAAGTAATTGCAATTGAAAAACAAAAATCCCAATTGTTACGACATACAGTATTTTCCACATTGTATATGAACGATCATCTTTGCTTTGAGTTTCATTGTGCTTCTAAAGTTTGAATCTAAAGCTATCGAAACGCATAAAAGATAATTGATAAGAATTATTAACATGAGAAAAGAGGCAAAAGATATTTTAAAATGGAAACCACTGGAAAAACAACATTAACACTACTAAACGTCCCTCAAAGATTTAAGCCTCTATCTTTTAAACTGTTCCACTTACAAAAGCTTAATTGCACTCGAAGTAATCTTTCTACATAAACGAATGAAATGATTTTCATAGTAAGTTATCACCTCTCCGTTACTAATCTTTGTAGCGCATGTTAACATTGGCGATTTCACTGCTCGTTCTCGTTGCAAATCATGAGATGATGCTGTAAAGCTTCAATTCGAAAACCATGAATTTTAAAATTACTATTAACATTCTCTTATTTTTGATAGGAGGAGGGTTATTTCATTATGATAACATTACTTCAAAAAGGATAGATAACTTTTTATCAATACAATTCCTTTTCAGGTATTAGAAATTCTTCTACAAAAATATTCTTCTTCAATCCAAAATTTTAACATTTATGCATATTTAATGATAAAAGCTATCGAACTTCGCACATGTCGTTTCACGACATGCTTTTTAAATAAATCAATTAGTGGATCATTCGACTTCCCATCACCACTAGCTGCATCTTCGGATATTCGCGCTTGACCGCCAATGATCTAAATTTCAAATTATGTCACTTTTTGAATTAATTAATAATTCATACTTTCACTTATCTTCCATCGATGAATCAATCAGCGGGTGTATCAATATGAAAAAGATGATGATATTGTACGGTTCTTCAGGGGATTGATGCTCGGACGTATCTGACGAGCAATTGCGTTACCAATAGAATATGAACTTTCTTGAACATCTGAGCAGCTTGACTAAATACATTCACTGAATATCTTAGTGGTTTTAAATTCCGACAGTATCTCTACTTCCACTCTTTCACTTCATTTTCCTTAGTTAAACATTTTTGTCATACCACTTATATGCAAAAATCACACTCTCAAACTCAAGGTATTGAAACCTAGCATAAGATGAATGTAAGTAATGTTTGAAATAATTAAACTCAAACAATAATGTGAAAAAGTAAACCATTGCAGCATATCTCCACTTGAAGAGATATAAGAATGAGGTATGAAATGAAAATGATTGGACCGCTCTTACAAAAGTAAAGGTTAGGATAATATTACTAAATAATTCTCAAATATGATCACTGTTGACAATTTGTGGATCCCAGATCCCAGCCAATTTTACTATTGTTTATCCAAATTCTTAAAACGCTCTTTAAAACAATTCATTGCTAACATACTTCGAAATCGTCGTTGCTTGAAATACTCCTTTCGCTGTCATCTTCCTTTTCAAATTCGGTTCTGTTATTTTCAATTCCTGTAGTTGACAGTTTCAAGTGAAAAAAAGGAAAAAACAATAATTTTATCAAATACTGACATATTTCTTCAGAAATTCCGATGAATTTACTATAATCATTGTTAGACATAGCTATCAATTATATGTAACTTAACAATTCAATTATGCTTACGAATATGCTAAATGCTTTTAACTTCTTGACAATTGATTTGAAATATTGACAGTTGATTTGAAATATACAGTAAACAATTACAATATTTTTCGAAATTTTGATAATTTTTTACATTGTGACTTCTTTTTCGGAATGATAATTTTAGTTATTATTAAAAGGAATATAATAATAGCAAAGAATTTTGATTAAACGATAATTGGTATGTTAACAAATAGATAGATCTAAGAAAAAGTGACAACTACTTCATAAACAAAAAAAAGATAAACAAATAAAGATTTACTTGCACTAACAGCATCTGTCACATTACCAATTATCATATCGGCCATCTCTTCGGAACATGAAATAATCGTTAGGCACTCACTGTCAGGTAAATTCAACGGAATGTTCAATCGATCTTTTTCTTCTTGCCGATGATGGCTGTCTCTGTCTATATGTCATGCATATATATATGTGTGTGTGTGTGTGTGTGTGTGTGTGTGTGTGTGTGTGTATGTTTATATGTTCACCCTATTGATTCTTCTTTTCACAACAACAATACCAGATTGAATTGAAAAGGGTAGTATATGTCATCGTAAAGCAATTTATTCATATTCAGATTGATCTTTCCCATAACCTGCCCGCATATTCCTGATATATTGGAATTCATTTATTTTCAATTGATCTTTCCCATAACCTGCCCGCGTATTCCCCATTATATTGGGATTCATTCATTTTCAGATTGATCTTTCCCATAACCTGCCCGCGTATTCCCCATTATATTGGGATTCATTCATTTTCAGATTGATCTTTCCCATAACCTGCCCGCGTATTCCCCATTATATTGGATTCATTCATTTTCAGATTGATCTTTCCCATAACCTGCCCGCATATTCCTGATATATTGGAATTCATTTATTTTCAGATTGATCTTTTCCATAACCTGCCCGCGTATTCCTCATATATTGAAATTGATTCAGACGAATATCAATCCATGAAAGTTAATCGTTAATCGTTTCAATAATTGTTAAACACAAAATTAAATAATGAAAAGTTTGTTTCTTTTCGTAACTTCCAAGATAATCGATCTTCAAATAAATATAACAATTCCCCTCCTAATAGTACATTTGTAATTGTTGAAAAAGTGATAAACATATTTCTTTTCAAATAGAAATATCAAAGTTGTAAAATTTCATCGAAAAATAAAAATGATAAATTTAAATATTTTGAATGGCAAAGAACAGAATGGAATGATAACATTGTCCATTAATCATCTTGAAATGATTAAATTTTCTCCAATTATCATCGTTAGTCATTATTTTTGCTCATTTATTTTTTTTCGAACATTTATTTTGCAATTTTTCAAACCTTTGAAATCTTTCTATCATTTTGAAATCATTCATGACAAATGATAATCATTGATAAGTTACTTAGTGATAAGAATTGTTGAAAATAAGCGCTTTATTTAGGAAGAAAATTAGTTTATTTATTTCATATTTCTGCATGAACTATTAATGAAACATTTATATTTTGAACAGGATAAAGCAGTGTGATAGCAATAATAAATTTATTTAGATATGAATCTTATCATTTCACTGAATGCTTATAATTAGCTTTATTTGTTTAATTCATTTTTTTAAAAATATGATACATGAAATTATAATTGCAAGATTTCAATTTCATTAATCGAAATATTACACGTATGATAAATATCACATGAAAAACAAAGGACAACAATAAAGGAGATCAATAATACAATAAATAAATCAAAGACATATTTAAAAAAGAAAAGATAAATCATAAATCAATAATTAAATTAAAGATACATTAAAAAAACAAATCAATGATACATTAAAATATATTAAAAACATTGACAATATAATATGCAAAATGTAAATAATATAAAGATAACATGAAAATTTCATCATTAAATACTAGCGTATTTCATAATGTTTATATTTTTTACAATAAAATTCATCTCATATTTATAAACTTTGCGATAGAAAATAATAAAATAACTAATTGGCAAAGAATATTTTAAAAATAAAAGAAGAATAAGTATAAATATGAGAGATGGAAATGAAAAAGTATTTAAAAAAACCTAATCAAATTACTTACATAATATTATTCTAAATAAAGAAATAAGGATAAGAATAAATTTGATATTGCAAAGGCAAATTTTCATACATTTATATGATGATTGTTATTCTGTTCAATTATAAATCGTATCGGTATATATCATCAGGAAAACCGATATTGTCGTACGTTCCAACACTTACAGATGATGACCGATTACTATCGATTATTGTATCCGAATTAGCAAAAAACTGACCATTGGTACCATTAATTAATGATTTATTTTTGAAAATGGTTCTGCTACTATTGCTACTGCTATTTTTACTTTTGCTCATCGTATTTCTGATTAAATGATCGTTCCCACTAAAAATAAATATTACGTTGTCTAAAATATTCATTAAATCTCATTTGCAACATACTTTTCAGAATTATTCTGTAAAGTTACAATTATATGATAATCATTATAGTAGTTATGTGATAAGTTGGGATATAACAACAGCGGTATGCTAGGATATAAAATGATATTTGATAGTTCAAGAAAAATAGTTTCACTGCAATTTACATTTCAAGACAAATGCCTCACGTGTTAGATTTAATGCTATCAGATTTCCAGTAAATCGGACTATGATTATTCGTAAATATTAAATATCATCAGTGGGAAGGTAAAAATAGAAACATACTGGATTTTCATAATTTTCCAACTTTTTGATTGAACAACAGGTAACGTAGATGCTTTTCGCGTTGATAATTTCCCAGATTTCCAGTATAGATTCAAAATACATTGCACAGCACAGATAATTGTTAGACAGGATGTGATGATACAGGTTATCACCAACCAACTGTACTGTTTAATCGGGAATCCATTTTCATAAGACTAAAAAATATTTCAAATGAAGAGTAAAGCAAATATATAAATTAAAAAAAAATTTTTTATCTAAATTGTAAATTAAAAAACTTATCTGAAATGAAATTTGTTTTACAAACAATATTTACCATAGTGGCAGTAGCGATTGCAGTTGTTTTAATTTTAGTGCACCACGGACAACGTTTAATGTGTTTTTGAACCGTTAAGGTAACATTGAAGCATCGACCTAGCAGTTCAACAATCATCTGATCAAGGTCACTGCTGTTTCCTGCACTTGAACTTCCAAAATGTTCTTCCTAAATTCGAAAGTAAGACTACGATTGAAATTTTTGGCATTGAGTAGTTTAATTGAGTAGCTGAATATTCAGTAGCTGATATCATAAGTAGAAGTGAGAAAAGCCAAGAATTACCTGTACTTCATATTTAAAAGCTTCTGTTGCAACAGACTGATCACAACTTCGTTGAAATCGATACTTTGGATCAATACCAATAATTTCAATACTCATTTCAATATCCATAGGAGATCCTTTAGTCCAGTGGCTGATGAAAGCGCTATTGGATAACTGAATAAATTTTTTTTAGAAACATCGCTGCGAAAAATACTACGATATTTTTTCAAACAAGAAAATATATCGCACTAATGATGAAAGTTTTTTTGTTAGCTTAATAAAAATTTTTCTACCTGCTCAAAATTTTGATCTAATTGCCAGCTGAATGAGCTTTTCTCTCCGTTCACCAAATTCCTCTTAATCATTTTCAGTTCCGGTTGATTGCAATAAGTGATTGTAAGGCAATCTAGCTTCCACTCAACATTTAACAAATTAGCAGAAATCCAAAATTCTTCCGGATCCCGCTGCCTTATAGTAGAAGCGCTTGTTAGCATTCGAACAACATGAATTGTTGGTAACCAAACAACAAAAAACAATAATAGAAGCATTTCTAAAAAATAAATTTTATCGTTTTTTTAATTTTTAACTTTTGACAAAATTAAATAATTCTTTCTTGTATTAGCGATCGTTTAGCTTATTTCAAATATTACAATAAATTAAAAAATTAGAATGGGAAAGAATGATATATATACCTGAATTAAATTTAAGCTCTTCACGAAGACAATAATATCAAAATTCGATAATTCTTCAAATAGGAAATGATGAGCAGTAAATGAATAAAAAAGCTCAAATGAATTCTTCGCCAGGTCAAATGGATTTATATAGAAGATATTATTCATTAAGAAATCTCAGATTATTATTTGCAAAATTTAATGCATGCTAAGCATGCGTGTGACCACTTATGTCAAAAAGAAATGGATAACTTCAAAGATGAGACACCGTGGCTGCGCCAATTAACTCATTCACTTTGCACAGGCATAATTATGGGAGCGACATTCAATTAGTCCTGAATTTCTTGTGAATTCACAAACATTTTCAATGCTAGAACAATCGAACATACCATTCGTATTTTATAAAAGTTCTCAGACGATATTATGAGGAACTACAATAATATGGTACTTTAAGGATAAATTCATATCGGTCATTCCCATATAGAATTTATACCAGTCATCCCTAAAATAGTTCCCGAATCATATTTTTATGACAACTGAAGCACTCTTTTTTTTACGCTTTGATATGCTACATAGTTTGTTTGAAGATCCTAATTTTTTTCCTCAGTCCGCTATCATCCGAATAATTTTATAGAACAGTCCTTGTAATCATATCACTATCATACTGTCATTGAAATAACTTATAATTTATTGAACATGTCAGACATCACCATTTAAGTATCATTACATAGCAATAGTGACATGGTCCTTCCATATGATCGTTAGTTATCAGACTACATATCTCTACAGCGCTTACAAATTTGGCTATCCGAGCGAAACAAATTGTTCGCTTTTCGAATATCTATTTATTCATACAGTATATTGAATTTTAAAACATGCTTTCATTTCGTGTGTGACTTATTCACACCAATTGTTATTCACTTTAATTGTTTGTTTGCTGACATTTCAAAGTAAAAACATAAGGAGCTGTGTACGCTACTTTTAGCGATTCCATTTTACTCCAGATAGGCTTTTGGAATGTGAAAATCAGCATCAAAGCAAGTTTCACAGTCCGAGTAGTCAAGCTGAATCGAAACTTTAAATCGCAATGTTTATCAATTGTATATGGGGACTAATATATATAATATGTACAAAGTGAAGCTAAAATAAATTTAAAAATTAAGAAAAAAATAGAAAACTAGAGTACATATACAAAATAACAAAAAAGGACTAATTTTCTAAGAAATATAAAACATAAAAGTGAAGATGTGTAGAAATTTATGAATGATCGGATGTGAAGAAATATTTCGCTTCATTCCTTACAAGCTAGTCAATTTTTTCCATAAGAAGAGTATTATTGACTTGAGCAAAATCGAATGTTGGATCGTCCATAATATGTAAGTAGTTGTGATTAAGAAAACGGGCCATCTATAAAACACAAATAAATTCAGGACTTTGAGAATGTAGTAGCAAAAATTTGCTACAGTAGAAAAAAACATCCCATATCCAACTGCTACAGAACTATTTGCATTATAGAAGTGTACTGTAAAAAAGTCATCAGCCTGTTCTACCCTATTTAAAGGTCTTTCTTTTATTTCTACTAGTTTTCTCTATCGCTTCCTTCGCGATATTGAAGGACCTTTAGATTCTTTTGCCGCAACATGCAATATACCAACAGTTATCAAGGTATGTGTACTGTTCGGAAAATGCTTAGTTCTCTGAAAAACTATTTTTAATTATAAATGGTTGAATTACCTGCATCAGCTGTAAAGAGATATTTGCGAAATGGCACGCAAAAAGAAGCATATTGCGCGGTTCAACACGACATGCAAATCGCATAAAAACCGCTGAGTAGATACATAAAGCAGTAGTCATTGGACCTAGAATTGATATAAAGTATATTATTAAATAACACATGAATTCGCTTAAAACTTGTCATTTTTTTCAATTCATAGAACATGTAGGACAGATTTCTCGCTTATCTAGACACTAGCATACCTGAAATCAAATCGGGATTCTTCTTCAAATCTGCCAAAGCAGCGATTGGGATACCCCAATTAGCAACAGGGCCCCAAAAATGGGTGGAACAGAAATAACTTATCCATTCTTTTGCAGAGTGACGATTTAAACTTTTCATAATCGCATTCATTTTTTTCCTGAAACTAATATTTCGGTAGAAATGAAACTATCGCGCAAGCAAAAAGAACGACGACGCAGCGCTAGCGCGATGTAAAACGAATCTAACAATAAGCCAGTAGATACTATAAAAAACACAAATCACATGACCTATGAATCTTGAAAAATTAATGTTGCATAGCGACATTTAACGGGAAAGCATGATCGGCCGTGAATACTTAAGTGTTAACAAAAGTGATAGAGTGATGTTGATGATTGTCAATAAATCCATCTAAGGTGCTTTTTGCCGACTTCCATTTTACGTTTAGTTGCTGAAAAAATGAATATATATAACAACAACGAGCAAGAAATGATGCCACGACGACAAAAGAATTTCGGTAAGTTCTTTATTTTCGAAAATGTTTTGTAAGTTAATCCTCTTCAATTTGTAAAATGAAATTCTCTTTATTTCCTTGTAAATTGCACGATCACTACGACAGGGCGAAGTAGATTAATCATCTCTCATCCTGAGGAATACTGGAACAACGCATATGATGTGGAATTTTGTCCATATAATCTGTGAATAATTTCACAGACATCTAATCAATAAGTGATCCAAATAGATGACTCTTAGAATTCTCAAAATATTTAGCTTCTATCGGAGGATGCTGTTATGTCCTGTTATCCAGTGTGATTGCGTCACTTTATGATGGGCACACTGAATTGATTATTCTTATAGCTGTATTTTGTATTTACATGTTTGTGTAACGGATGATAATTGCTATTAGATTGAAACAGACCTTGTTTCAGGTACTCCTCGTATTATGACTTCCATGAAGAATAATCATTTCGACAGTCCTTTCAGAAGTCCCTATGATTCTGCAACATTCCCACGTTACGCAACGATGTCCAGCCCTCATTCGTCTTTTCGTCATAAATCGCCTTATCAACATCGAAAGCGACCGTATTGCCATCCACCTGCACCGCTTTATTCAGTAAACAGCCTTACCAGCACCCAACATCCTCCGAATTGGCATAGTCCATCGAGAACATCCTTGCCATGTATCTATAAAAATCCACAGAATATGGTAGGTGCTTCACATTTGGTAGGATCAAAAGAATTATAAGCGATGAAAATGTAGGATGAAAAGACGGGAGATTTTTAGTAGAATGAAGACTTCTGGCGTTATTAACAGGACATACCTCACATCGGAATTTCACATCGGAATTTTACGTCAGCCTTTGAAATGGATATAATAATTTATCATTCAGATACAAGGACATGGTTCCTGTGCAATTTCTTCCGGCAATAGGCGCCACAACCATAAGGATTCAAGGACGGTATGTCTTGCTGAACAATTTGATGTCAATGACTATGTGATACCGGCTATGACATCTAATCCTTGGTCGAAATTAGAAGAATTTTATGCCAATCGGCGATTGGATGAACAATGATGTGATACAGTCATCTCAGAGTATATTAATCACTGCATACCTAATAAAAAACATATGGATTTCTTAATTTTTATGTTCAAGCTAAACAAAGAAGGCGTGGAAAAACGAATATTAGCTTTGAAAGGATGGAGAGACTGTATCCTTTTAGAATCAGCAATGGTGTGCTAAGTAGAGAGAGAAGTGTGGAAAATTAGATGTTTGTGCAGGATAGTCACTGATAAAGAAAAGTTAGCACCAGTTTTAATTCTGGACTAATTCTTATGGTAGGCGAAATAAAATTCATTCCTTCATATGGAACACTCTTATTCAGTGCAAAGATTAAGGTCAAAGTATAATGTCTCCAGTATCCTGCCCTTTTTGTAATACAAATTTGAAAGTCTTAGAGAATAGGAGTAGGAAGAGTCCAGGTGTTCGATAGAAAACTGTTCTACTTTTTGTCTTCCTTGTTAATTGTTCTAGCAATGTTTGATCTCATTTGAATTATCTAAAAGAGGACAGGACTTGATTCTGCATTTGCTGCAATATGAACTTCGTGAGTTTCATCTGTGACGTTTCCCTCATAACTCTAAAAGGGTAAAAACGCAAACTAGAGGCAGAAAATTGAGGTAGCAATAGAGCCTACGATTCAGGGAAGAGTGTATTCAAGATCAGACGATTTCAGGACAGCAAGTTGATGACTGAAGCGAAGTCAACGTGTCTCGATTTCCGAAATTTTAAAAACATAGTGGACAACTAACCAGAACGACTTTGGCAGTCCGACATCGCAATGTGTGAATATCTCTGGTCACATGATAGACATACTGTTGTTGATAAGAAGTGGTGTCGTCAAGTTGTTTCTTAATAAATGCCAAGCCTTTCTCATGTTATTACTTACACGTAAAGGCATCAATATTAACGATTTGAGAGGAAAAACCATTCGTTAATGAATCAAAAGCAAATTTACAATAGAAATGAATAACGATTGATTCTGGGAACCACCATTACAAAAACCAAAACCAGATCCAATTTGCACAGCACGATATTTTTCATTTCGGATGTCCGGATTTGATTTCGTAAGTACCAAAACCGCTTCAGTTATATGCTGTACACTAAAGATTAAGGTCGACTTCTGTGGGTATCAAATATCCTATGTACCAGACAAAAGACTTGCCGGTAGAATAAGGGGGCATACCTCAAAAAGGGCGTTCTTACGATCGTCTATTATTCAATTTCGAATCATTTCATACAAATATTACAACAAAAATGTAACAGCGACACAAAGTAATAATGCAACTGACTATTTCATTACCTCTCCCGAAAACGCCAGTAATCCTTCTTCCTCAACAATAGTAGTTGCAATAGCCGATTGTTTTCATACATAAGCACCGATATGTGACACACAAGCAGGAATTAAAAAAATTCCTTCTGCATGTGATCGCACTTTTAAAAAAAGGAAATATCGTCAGCATTTCCTTCTCCCTAGGCCACTGTCAACTCAACAGTTCTGAATGCTTGATAGGTGACTGTTCCTTAGAATTTTCAGATTTTAATGATGCTAAAATCCGACTGCAATCCACACCACCACCATTTGTGGATTGTACTGGTATCCCGGAAGCATTTTCCATGTCCAGTTCAACTGAGTGCGCCGACTTACTCGTTCCTTCTTTCTCTCTTTCTGGGAGTATTCCTGATTCTTTAACGGACGACAGACTCCCTAAAATATATTTATTCATTGTAATTATTCAAAAACTAACGTAAAAAGAATTGGACTATAATTACCTCCCCCATCTCAAGGCTAATAGTGCAATACCATACGCCACCTGAGAATCTTATCTCGGTATTTCAATTCAGAAAAGAATATGACAAATAGATAATACAAGACAACGGCAGTAGGTTCCAATGCAGGCTAATCCCTTCATTCAGAAATCAACTGAAGCAGCCTAAAGCTTATTTTCATATTGGAAATTCTACACAATTCCATTTTAAAATTTCTAATTTGCAAAAAGAAACAAGAGAATTATTAACAAGATCATGCATTCTCTTCAGTTACTATTATCCAACTCTGATAATGCTCCTAGTTAGAAAAGAAGTGTGGGAGCATTGAACATCAGAATAAATTATAAGCTCAACATCCTAAAATGCAACATCAACATAATGATACAGAATAATATGAAACTTTTCCAAAGCAGAAACATACTCCTCTCACAACTTCAAGTGAATAAAATTGCGTATCCAATCATTGAAGTTACAAATAAAGTCATCACTAAATAATCCAGCAAAAATGAAGTGAAGAAATAAAAGTCATATATTAAAGCTATAAAGAACTTGAATATGCATCCTGGCAAAATCTGGTAAACTACACTAGCAATAGCCCTAACTTCCCTCTCCATAAGCTATATATAAATCAATGCTTTAATTGAACATTCAATTGACTATGGCAATCATCATGGCAATAAATAAGACAATGTGATTGAACCGATCATAACTCATGAAATTCCAATTTCTCAGCCAGTGCTCCATTGATGTACATTGATGTACAGAACGTTAAAACCTGCGTGACAATAGAAGCAAATACATTGACGTGTTGTTTTAACTACCGAAGGATGTAAGTGGAGAATGAAAATTTTTATGAAGATTCGGATGCGGAAAATTTGGCACATAAATGATCCAAGTGCGGAAATTTCAACATCTCAAAACGAAAATCTCAACTAAACCTATAGGAGTACCACTAATTTGTAACATAATAGTTCAAGCATCCAAGAATACCTGTGATTATTATTATTATTAAACACTTTAAAATCATCATATAAAACAGCATCAAAGCAAAGATTTCACATAAAACAATCCTTTATTGATAGATTAACAAACAAAAGCGCAATATGAAACATTGAATCCACCATGTTCGACCATGTCATTTTATTAAGCCTTTAGAAGGTAGAGGAAAAAAATTTGAAGTTTTGAAAAACCTAAGTCGGTTATCTATACAGAATTATAGTGTCACGAAATAAGCAACAAAGTGCAATATAAAAAAAGAATGATCCCTATCCGTGATCCCTACCCCATTTTCTACTCCACCGTCAGAAAACGATATGGGTTATACGCTCTGAAATAAATGGAACTATAACCAACAAAATTATTTTCAACATCTAAACTTTCAATATCTAAACCGAAAATTATACAGTCAGTTCTGAAATTATTCTCTATTATTTAGCGGCACTTGCCATAAATCTAGTGATGAAGTTTGTTGGTATGTTGGTATATTTGAAGTAGAATTACTTGTAAGAGTAACTGATACACTACCTTTCGGTTCCATTGATGCAAGCTGTCCTAATATTTCACTGAGCTGATTTTGTATTCGTGGCTGTAAATGCGTTGCATTTGTGGTAGATGTTGAAAGTGCCGACATTACCGCCGGTGGCAAAACACCACTTTTACTAACAAGTTGTAAAACAGATGCTGCTGCCGTTGGACTTAAATTAGCCAACAATGCACGTGCCGCTTCCAAGTTGCTTGGATCGGCCTGAATTGCTCGAATTGCTGCATCTACATCTGAAAAATAATTAACTAAGTGCATTGTGTTTAATAATTTCTAAAACAGCTTAAGATCTGCACTATCATTAACCATTTTAAGACGTTATAAAACAACTGTCTCACCTTGCTTTATAACTTTTTAAAAAAAATACCTTAAAAGCAGTACATTTTTTGGACGATTTATTATAACCATAAAAGTTTGAGGTATGACTTACTTTTTAATGAAGCTTCTGAAGTTGTAGTACTCTCAATAGATAAATGTGCAATGTTCAGTCGCTTTGTTGTCGAGTGTGGTGGTCCACTTTTTAAACTTGTGCTCGAATCAGGCTACAATTGAAAGTTGATATTTGTTTCAACAGACGACATATAAAGCTCAAGCAGAAAAGAGAATAGAACGATACAATAATAAAAGAAACCTGATGTGAACTAGAAGGGAGCATAGGATGGTGCTGTTGTAAAAACTGCGAATGTGATTGTGACGACTGCGGCATATTCAAACTACCTAAAATATGTTACAACTTTTAAATGATAGATGAAAAGAAAGTGAATCACATTTAATAAAGCCAGGTTAATCTGTTTCGTTTGTTTTATGTCTTATGACTAAACTTGAGTAATGAAGAATGCCGCCACTAAGGTCAATATAAAGATCATTTAATATCACACATTCAATATAACTGTAGGTGATAAAACGGTAGCTCACGGCAAAAGTTTTCCAGTTTTTTTTTTACATAATCTGATCTATTCAATTTTTAATAATTTTTTCCATTTTGCATACGATATTTTAAAAGCCCTATGATAAAAGATAATCACCGCCAGCAGAACGATTTTTCCTCTGCTTTTTTGACCACAGCTCATGACAGTCTTGCCAATCTGGAAGCTTCGGTGGTGATACTTTTGAGGGATTAACATCTTTCAGCCACGGATGTGTTAAAGACGCTTTTGAGGTGATGCGCCTCTTTGGATCCAATTCAAGCATTCGATCAAGTAAATCCAAAGGTTTATCAGGTATGCTGCAATCAAACCAATAACTGATTGGTGACACGAGCAATTATTTGTAGAATATTTCAGCATTTGTGAAAACTTACAATCCAAATGCATCACGCAAGACTCGAGGAAAGGTACGCTTTGGTCGAAAGCTGCAATATAGAGGTAACTTAATGACATCAGGCCAATTTTCAGGCGATGGTGTACCACAGAGTTTCGATATTACATCCAACTGCACCATCTCAGTGTTACCTTGAAACATTGGTTTTTTCGTATATAATTCTCCAAGAATGCATCTGAAATTAAAGTGTTATAGCTCCAGTGATATCTATGTTATAGCTCCTCATCCAAACTAAGGCATGTATGGCGAAAACAACAAACCCAACACTCCACACATCAATAGCAGTTGTATATCGTTCTTCGCCAAGCAGAAGTTCTGGTGGACGATACCAAAGTGTTATCACGCGATTGGTATAAGGACGATCCTGATCTTCATCGTAAAATCTGGCTAATCCAAAATCGGCCAACTTTAGTTCTCCTCTAAAATAGCACATTGCTTTCTAATGACGGATATTAATATGGACAATGAATGCAACAAGAAATTTGCAATAATATGAGTCGTACTTGTTATTCAAAAGGATATTTGAGCACTTGATGTCACGATGAAGAAATCCAATCGAATGGCAATATTCTAATCCAGAAACAAGTTGCTTCATAAGCGATGAGATTTGATCATCAGAAAATTCAACAAACTGGCTTTCCAATATGCCCATAAGATCGTGATCCAGATATTCAAAAACCAAATAAAATGCACCTGAAGTTAGTAAAGAAAGAGGTAAAAATTAGCATTGAAAATAACCTAACTTCGAGATCTTCAAGAATAACAAGAAAACATCATCATCATCGTATGAAAGAACACACCCTTATCTTTCCTAAAATCGGCAGCAGTTTGCTTATCAGTGACAATGTCGATTAATTTCACAACATTCCGATGGTTCAGCTGTCTGAGAATCTTAATTTCACGAACGGCTGTAATTGGAAAACCTTCTTTTTCATTCTCCAAACGCACCTTTTTCAAAGCAACTACTTCTTCTGAAAAACATTCTTCATGCGGAATAATTACAGCAATTGTACTGCTTTGTCTCCTCAGATAAATAGCTCATTGTAACATGCTTATTACTACCATTAATAGTAAAAACAAAAACTTATTATTGTCCCAAAATACAAATTAAGATATATAGGATTTCGGATAAAAGTGTTAAACAAAGTTTGATACCATACACAATACAATTAATTATCAGTACAATTATATATATATATAATATCTTTGTCCAATGAATGACTATCACGAAATCCTTCGAGATATTAACTACATGAAAAACTTACGAGTAATCTTATCACGTGCTTTGTACACTTGTCCATATGTGCCTTCACCTACTTGAGTTTTGATTTCATATTTTTCCACCGTTGAACAACCCCAGTTCTCCGGATCTTCCCGCAATTTTAGACGTTTATTTAATACTCTGTAAGTTCACGACTTGAACTTGAAAAGCTGTCAAAATAATGCAGTTGATATGAGCTGCTCAGAACTGTGCTTAGAGGAGTAGATTGACTCTCGAATGTAAGCCGAAAATGAAACAACGGAAACTAAGTCACCGTATGAATTAAATTCAAAGAGAAATCAAATGAACTTACAAAGGTCGCATGAAAGTTCGTTTGGGTTGGGGAGGCATTGGTGGGGGAGCCGGTGGAGGTGCAACAGGAGGCACAGAGGCATCGCGTTGTATAGAATGAGTTGCAACTACCGAAGATGCAAGATTTGGATTAGGTATTGCAGATGGTGCAGGTGGAGGGGGCTGTGAGGTGTTAACAGGCAAACAAGGCTGTAGAGGCATAGATGAAGGCATGGGTGGCAAAGGAGGAGGTGGCAAAATCGGATTCGGTGCAATCGGAGGAGGCGGTATAGGTGGAGGCTGGGAGTATGGAGGTGGTGGAATAGTAAAGGCTGCCATCTGAAAAAATTTCAATAAAAACCGAAAAAACAAAGATCAAGTAATAAATTAAATGAAATGATTCAACTTTGCAAGTTTTCTTAGAATCTGTGCCATGCGTAGTCGTTAAATAGAAGAAAATAATCTGAACTTGAAATCGATGAGCCGTACAAACCGCACGAATCTAAACGATGTGAAAACAAAAAACCACTTTCTAGAAATAATAATCCTTATATAAAGATACAGAAAAAATTACTGCAGAAGTATTACCTGACCAGCATATCCATATTGAGCAGTATAAGCTGCCATTGCCACTTGATATGCATTTGGATCCATACCAATTGGAGCTGGTGGTGGAGGTATGAAAGTTGGCACAGCTGACATAAAAGATGTTGCTCGTGGTGGAACAACGGCAGGGATTACCCGAATTGGTGGTGGTGGAGGTGGCGGCACCACTAATGTTGACGCCTACAATAAAAATCACTGAGTTGGGAAATAATAAATGCTTTTATGTTAGCAGTTAAAACAGATCTAAAGACCTCAAGGAGTCAGAGCTATAAAACTTTACCGTATGATCAATGCAAACCAGTATTTCTTTTTTTTTCATATAATAGACATATATATAAAATTTACAGAAGGTGGAGGGCTGCGACCAGAAGATGACGTCGATGAATCGGACGATGGCGCACGCCTTCGTGATGGACGTTTCTTTGCTGCTGGACTACGCCTATGCCGTTTTTCCTTCCATTCCTTTGCAGTCCTATCGATTCTTTTATCATGATGCCTTGTCATAATTTCACCGAGAAGTGATGACTTCATACGCATCCTAAAATTTAATGCGAATTTATGACTTTATCTAGTCAGCGAATGTTTTCATATGATAACCAATGGCTTACTCGTTCATGCTTGATGATGTAGTATCGGAAGAACTGGAACTGGATACGCTCGAGCGACTTCTACTCCGTTTACGACGTCCTTCTCGCCTATCAGAACGCCTCGACGATCTCTGCGGGGTACGACGACGTCTGCGACGGTCATAATCATCAATTATCAAACAAGAGTTATTAAAGGGGGCTATTTCTTTAAGAAAAGAAGAGAGTCCACGACAGTAGAAAAAAACCAATTTCCAGAAATCTAGAAAAAAAATAGAATTCCAACCAATACTTCCTGATGCCATTCAAAACCTCAGGAATATCAAAAATTAAGTTAAACCCAAAACTACCTGCTCTGATTACTGCGTCTGTTCACTTGCATCAAGTCTCGACGCACATCACCTTTTCTATGATCTGAACGACGTTCATGCTCTCTAACTTTACCATTTGTTGACGGTGAAGGAGATCGCCTTCTTTTCCGACTGCGAGAAATAGATTTCGACCTTGATCGCCTGAAGGATCTAATTTTCGCTCCGTTTTTCTATATAAATTTTTAAGGAATCAGGTTAAAATGAGCGACTTTTACTCAACTGCTTTGCTTCTTTCTTTCAACCTTAAGTGATTCATTCTTCTTTTTATAGGATAGAGAGAAAAAAAATAAGAATGATAAATCACTGGAGTTCAAAACAGAATCAGATCAGCACCGAGTAAAAGTTGTTTATCTCTTGATAAAACTAGTAAAAGTAATTTGTCTGTATCAAATGCGCACTGTAAAACATTTTTATAGTAATATAAGTGTTAACCACCTCTGACAATATTAGATTTCATATCAAATACAACAAATATTTGGACTGCATAAATGTTTAACAGTGAAGAAGCAGTACGAATCAAACCGAGTGATACAATAATCCTATTTGTAATGTTTCTAGAAAGTGTTTGTAACGTCCGTTACAAATTATGATCAACTGTAGCCTGCTTGACTTAGAATAGGAAATGGATGCCGATATAACTGCTGAGTGTTTTATGTAATCCCAAAAGGAAATTAAAACTGCACTGTGCAACTGACCGATTATGCTGAAATGAGGGTGACACCGATTTTCGACGCTTTTTCGATGACACTTCCCGATCCTTCGAATGTTTTTCCTTCTTTTTTGTAGAATGCATTAACTGCCGGTTATTATGAAAACTTCCTGTTGCTGGGCTACCACCACTCACTTCAGTTAGTTCTTCACTTCTGATACTACACGAAGGCGATGAGCAATGAGTTTCTGAAAATGCTTAATTGAAAGGTTAAAACAATTCGACCCCTATGAAAATTAAATTGACCAATTTTTAAACTTTACTAATACCAATGAGAGTTGAAACACCCAAACAACTAACCTTTACTGCTTTGTTCAGTCCCGGTAAGCTTATTCTTGCTTTCCGACAAACGATCTGTTTCTTTGTATACCATCATATAACATTACGCCGTCGTTTAATAATGTCTGAAAATTGATCAATTTAAAAATTTACTTTTGAGCGAAAGATGTTGAGCGACCATATTTCACGCGTTTAATTAAATGAACAGAAACTTAAAGCAACACATTTTAATCTAATAAAGCTGGTCGAATTTGATTTTTGATTTTCAAACTCCATAAAATAAATTTCAGAATGCGAACTTTACATTAAACTTAGAACCTAATAGATGAGAGCTCTTTGAAAAGTAGTCATTAGTAAATCAATGAACTTATACAAAAACAACTTACACTTGAAAAAAATTCTGAAAACTGATATTGAAAAAAACAGAATTATATAAAGGAAGGATGGAAAATTACATCACACTGTTCGTCTTTGTTTAAGATGACAGATGCTTTATCTAGTAAAATAAATGAATGTGAAGGGATATTCTATGGAATGTTGCGAAATACATTTAAAAATTAGTTTAGAAGGAGTGTCAGAGGATATTAATGATTTTCACACTTTATAAAAATTCATTATTACACTGTTCCCAAGTTCATAAGAAGTAATAAATATGCATCCATTTTTAACTTCATATTTTTTGAATTAAATTAAATACAAAAAAGTAACTCCAAGTTTTGCTTGCGTCGGTGGTTGTCCCTCAGTAACTTAACCCACAATCACTGACGATAGGAAGAAAACTTACTAATATCCGAAAGATTACAAGGCAGCGTGATACAAGAGAAATACATTAAACAGCATCAATCTTCAACAAAAAACAACTTGCAGTATCTTATGACCAAAAGCTACAGCATCAGATGGATTCATACATAGCAGTATTTAACAATTAAAACTAGAGATTTACTCTAAGGAATAAATCGTATAATTTTTGATCGACGCCTTACTAAAATGATTGCAGACTCTTTGCAAAGAGTAGCAACTGATCTTCTATGCAATGATTTTAACCATAGCTGCAGGGAAAAAAACTGAACTTCATCCTGATTTTAGGAATTCAGTTTCCGAAAGGCGAAAAGAGTCAGATATCAAGCAATTGTCCAGAAAACATAGCTGTAGTCATGCGTTCAGATCTTCCTACCACGAATGCAATGTCGATCATGAAATATAAATTTCCTGTTCGAGAGAGTAAACACAACTGCTTCCTCCGAACAGAAATTTATATCAACGATACAAATTGGATCAATCGATCATCTAGCCAACCACGACCATCAACGACGCATACTATGTAATACCCAATTGCCGCTGCCGTCATGATAAGTCGGTTGCGTATATAGCAAATCATTGATAGTGAAGCTCAACTTCTAAAAAACGCGGCCTGCTATCGATGGATAGCTAGCAAACTACACTACCACCACAACCATGGAAAATCGATGCCGCGCAAGCATCAATACATATGTGTCATTTATATATTGACCGAAGGCGTCACCAATTTCAGAAATTTCACTCCAAGACTTTTGTGTAAGATGACCATCTCAAAAGGTCGTCATATCTATGGCTAGACCATTCCGTTTAATGCACTATCGAGTAGTGATCAGGATTACCTGCAAAGTAACCTGAAGCGGCATTCTTTGATTTCGTTAAAACTAAAACATGTCTAGCAGTATTTCTGCTCTACCCTTAAAAAAAATGGCGAAAAAATGAGCGCAAAAGGTCTAATAACAAGAACGCATCCATGAACAATGAAGCACCACCTTATTGAGACTTATCTCAATTTTAAATGTCGTAGAAGTATTGGGCGATATAACAACACATTCCGCAAAACAAACTGCGATAAAATTTTATTTATAGCGAATTATGCACAAAGTAATCAAATATTAGAAGAAATCAACTGCAGATGGTCGGGTTTTTTTCACAGCGGTAGTACTTGACTGTCCGAAACTGAGCAAATTATCAGTTATAGATGAATCGGCATCTGAATGAGTGATAAAGCCTTCTACATTTCTTTTTGGTGTTTTCCTTAATAGCTGTGATGAACCTGGAGTACCACTCGAACATATGGAATGCGATGTCCTAAAATTATCTTTTCATATCTCTAGAAATTAAAATTTTCTTACCATCAATATGATGAATAGATCATTCAAAACTTTCCCTAAAAGAAAACGCTCTGTAGTCATATAACTAAATGAAAAATCAAACGAATCAAATCAATAATAAATGTTAATCTATGCGAAATTTGGAAAAAAAGTACAATTATTACTCGTTGATTCATTTGCAAAAAATTAATATTTCCAGAAATATAACAAACTAGTATACCCGCAATAACACATTCAATTCATCTATGAATTGTACTCTTTCAAATCTTCTACGGGATATTTGAATATATCCTGAACCAAATTTTGTGAACTAAAATCGCTCAACACTACATATCCTTACAGATAAAATGATTTCATCTTCATTGCACTAACTGTGCAGTATAATCAATTTTTTTAAATTTGGGAGCTTACCTTGACCGTGAAGGTGAGCAACTGAAATTGATTTTTAATTCCCTATCTGAACTCAAACGAATTCCAAGTCCATGTGCTACCAGACGTCTCGCGGCAGGAGACATCGCTGTTAGCTTTTCAGAAGTGCGGATAGAACCAAAGCTGGGTGTTTTGCTTAAATTATAGGTGTTAGATATCAGATTTTTAAACTGCAGTGGAGGTTTAGAAAAGTTAGTTGACTATTTCTAATAAAATTGTTGGTTTAAGGATACCCAAAAATTGTACATGCGATTATAATAATATTAAGGGCAACGGAGGAATGAATATTCAAATTATACACAATGATGTTGAAATGATAACTGAATGGATAAAAGGAAAACCTACGCATGATGCTTCTCAACTTGTCGCATAGCAACTTTGCGTTTACCATGATAACGTTTAGCAATTGTTTCAGCTATACTTTGAGCTATCTTTTCTCGAACAGGCATTTCAGGAATCTAGAAATGTTAAGAAGCACATCTCTATTAAAATTGTGACACTTATTAGTAATAGAAAAACGAGTTTTTGAAGACTATTAATGATCGAATTTAAGTAACTTACCTTAAAAGCCGGAGCCGAAGTTGGAGTAGCCATATCTGAAGCGTCAAGTCGAAATGGCGTTCCCTCGATTTCACCCCATGTCATAAATGGCGATTCATCGACGCCTCAAACCAAATATTTTAAAATTACGACAGAATAAATAGTTGAATGCATAGTACTTCATTTACTCACGATTTACATGCATAGTTATGAATGAAAAGAAAAAAGAATTCGCATGTAATTTTCATACTGCAAACGAAATCATTGTTATAATTGCACCAAAAAATTCATGAAATTCATAATAACACTTCCCCCCCCCCATAAATCACCGGAGAACACTTAAAACTATTTAACAAAGAATCTAAGAAAACAACCGCATTTCCTTAATATCATAGCACTTGAAGTGGAAATTCGAAAGATCTTTAGACTTTAACGACAAAATACGAGAAAATTACCTGGAGCTGGAGATGGAGTAGCAATTAGTTCCATTACACCAGTTTTAGAAATACCCGCCTCACGTCCTGTTATGTCCACCTTTCCTGCATTAACTACTGCCTGCTGTAGCGCTCCCTTAACAGCAGTGGCCTGCAATAAGTTATTGTTTATTTAAAAAAAAATTAGGGATAGTTACGTGAAAAGTATTTGAACGAAAAAAACCTGTCTTTTCTCCTTGTTAACCTCCTCTGAAAAACGGGTGGCGCTTTTATTTATGATTCTTTGATTTGCTTTCTGCCTTTGAAGATGCTCATCCAATGTTAACGGTGCCTCTTCCGGATGAAAATGTACAATATTACGCGCCTTGTAAGACCAGTTATCAAGCTCTTTAGGCTTTCCTGAAGTGATTAATTTTCGCTTTGCAATGATCGCAGAAATATCTTTGAACACCCATTTGAAACGCTGCCAACTGTTATTTTTTCTTTTTTTTTAGTACAAAAAAGCTTTCCAAGATACTGAGGGACACATCAAAGAAATTAATTGAAACTTCATAATTTTATGCTGTTACTCTTTATCGAGTGAACCAAATCTGTTGATACCAAGATTGCAGACTCATAGGTACTCATACATACATATGAAAATAAAATACCTTCGATAGCTCCAGGAGCTAAAGACTTCATGATTTGCTCATCACTAGCCATAATTAATTTGTTCCCTCGAGTAACGAATTCTTCGTTATGTTTTTTTTCCGCTTCATACATCCATGCATTACGGATTTGCTCTTTCTTTTTATGTAACAATGCAAGCTCTTCGAACGATGCATTATCCTCAGAGGTAAATTTATTCAAATAAGTATCAACCGTAAGATTCCCATGCGACTTTTTCTTCTAAAAATGAGCAATAATGTGAAAATAATAATGAAATGCTAAACAACTTTCCTAATTTACAAGCACATATTGAAGACTAATTAAAATATTAATTTACAACTTAGTATTTCAACTTTCAAATTTACAACTTTCTCAATAATTCTTTCAATAAGTTGCTTTAGTTGCCTTATACGCGACTATGGACAAAATGAACGAAACAAAATTTTCACTGTCCGCAATGAAAGGTTCAAGACACAATGTTTTTTTTTTTGGCAGCTGCTGCTAAAACTAAGCACATTACGTTGTCAACATGCGATCCTGAATCTGACCTTTGTGGAGCTTCCTTCGTCACTTTTTCCAACTCTTGAATTGGTATACGAGGAGCTAAGTGTAGGTGTGTTGGGGTCAAATACACCTGGACTGTTAACTGCAGTTGTAGGTGAGGTGCGTCGAATAGTGCGCTTTGTGCTATAACGCAACTGTAATTCACGAATCTTCGTTAAATCATTAGCTGCAACTGCGTCCAAATACTCCTTCTGAGCCTGGAAAAAAAAATGCTAATTCAGATTAATTTTAAAGAGCAAAATGTCCATACAAGTCGGCGATCTGTTGCGACAAATAAACTCCCTCATTAGATGACAAAAAGGAAAAACCACATACTTTCAATTTTGGCAATTCAGGAAAATAATCCCTCACAATAATTTCTTGAAGACGTTCAAGGTATTTATCTTCCGGCAGCACAACACGAACTTCCTTCTCCGTTTCCAGCTTTTTCGCCCCAAGTACTACTACCTGTAAAATCATTTGCAGAATTTATTATACATGACATATTTTTTAACGATTTATTATAAAGATATTAGTCGACTGGTGCAATATCCGTAAAATAACTGATGTAAGAATCCTTCTGAAGCTGTCACGCAAGCTTCTTTCGGAAAACATCAAGAAAAATGTTGAAATGGATAATTCAACAGTTCTGCGACATAAGCAATGGAAGAAAATATACCTTTGAGCTCTGTAACTTTTGAGCTGGAACAGATATCGCCCGATCGGCATCATCGAAAGATGTCGGCGTTCCAAACTCCGGTGTGATCATCCTCCACCTGATAAAATATAACTTACATAGAACAACATACAAACCGCTTTCAACGAAATGTATACCCAACACGTAACATTATGAAATTTCCTTGTTCCTAATTAAAACGGCTTCCCTAACTTCGCTCTCGCAGTATGAGTTTATATGATCACTAGGAAAATAACTGCAAAATACTTCTCGGAAGATTGCTATTCAAATGACAATACCAGGAAAATACTACTGCGATACATCCTCGGAGCAATTTTGTTGCAAACTCTCTTTCTTTTATGCGCTATTTTTGTTTCTGTCTGTGGATGACGGACAAAATATATGCACAGGTCAACGACGAGTGTAATATTCTGTTGAAGGATATTTCTATTTTACCTTTCTTATTTAAAGCAATTTTCACTAATCATTCTACATGTTATATTGTTTAGAAGTGCAATGCTGAAATTCATGCAAGAATGATGAGAACTGCCATTTGTTCACTTAACATTGAACGGGGATTTCAGAAATTTAATTTGTGAATATAGTATATATATACATAATATTCACAAAATATATAGTGTTCTGCTTCCATAACAAAATAAAAAATGAATTTAAACGGAATGAAAAATGAAAAATATTGCTGCAGGCAATAATATAAGAGAAAGAAATCTAAAAAGAGATAACAAAGTAACCT